TGACCTCTGTCTGCCTAGTTGATCGTCTGGGACAAAGAAAAATGTCTAAAACAAAGTGGAAATAAATCTTTGTTGCATTAGAAGATGAAACGGACACTTAATAAAACAAAAAATGTAAATGAACTGTATTCTTTCCCTATTTTCATAATAAGGAATTCATGTGAAAAAATATTAGTCATCATTATTAACATGTAGTAATAGTTACTTTGTTAATAAAAAAAAATAACAGTTTATTTTTTTTGAAGAGATTCTTACCAGTTAAATAAATATATTATCTTCCTATATATTCTATTCGTTACTTTTATTACCAGTAATTCGATTAAACTATTACATTATAAAAATCTCAGTTTACCTCGAAGTTTCTGTCACATTCATCAATCCGTATATAAATATAAAATGACATACCGTAATTTTTCTTAGTACGTTGGTTGTATGTTTACAGTTGACCCGTAATTGAATTGGCTCTATTGAATCGTTTTCGTCAGGTATATATGCATGTATTCATTTTTTTTTCTTTATATCCTTTTCTGTTCATATCCTAATGATCGTGCTTGATAGGCCTATTTAATTTTATTTCTACTGGTGCCTCCTCCTTTTCATCTGCTCTAAGCTACGTAGTAATATGATGATCATTTGCACGGTTATTTAATCGAGCGCGCAGCTTGATTATATGTGTAGTTATGTGCATATATATATATATATATATATATATATATATATGTATGTTAAAGAAACGAACGACAAAGACAAACATTACAATGAGATCGGCGCGACTACTGTTCATGATTTTTCAAGTCTTTTATTCTCTGATTGTTGACAAAAATAGACAGGGATGAGCTCTCACTCGTTCTCTTACAAATATTACAGAATTTATTTGTTATGATCATGATACTTGAACTGAATTTAATTTAAGCAATCTATATATATATACTTACAATTGTAATTTAATGTATTTTTTTTGTAGCATACAAGTAGTTCACTATCTCTTTTTAATAGAGCAAAAAAGAAAAATAATTTTCATCTTAGTGACAACGTGTATATTGTAATGAACATAGACAGAAAAAAATTATTCTAATGACAGAAACTAATATTAATTCTCTAGCTATCTTTCTTTCTTCTTGTTCTTCTCTTGTTCTCTATATCTCTCTTCACATCTATACATTGATCTATCTATCTTGGTCTATGTTGATGTTGTATGTGCGTGTTTATATGTATAAGATGAGATTCGATTGAACAGGCGACAAGGAGAAAAAAAATATCAATTGTAGTGAATAGATAGATAGATGAATGGATATAGAAAGAATTAAAGATTGCTTAATCAATCGGATGCGGCACGCGTAGAATGAATAACTAATTTTGATAGCAAATGCTACTACTATTATGACTTACATTAGAATCGTGCTTTGAACAAAGGTATTGCATAATAACTATTGTGACTATATAGTTACAAGTGTTCGAATAGTGTTCATCTTTTTTTGAGTATACATGCTGTCAATTGTCCAGTCACACCTCTTTCTCTTTATATGTTTTAGTATGTGGGAGGAGTAAACAATATATAGATTGTTTGTTCAAAGAGTTTTTGCACATTGTCGATAAGTAGAACGTTTGCATTTTTGTTATTCTTCTACTCATTAGTATTACTTCAATGTTCTATATGAAATATTTGTTGATGAAGTCGATATCCTACTGTGAGTGATTGCAGCAAGAAAACAACTTGAACAGTAAGATTTTCGAAACATATTATCATAGACAAGGATTATAAAGTCATATTGTGAGTATATGCATAGAAAACAGATTCGAATGAATTTTTCTGATAAAAGTTACTAGCCGACAGAAGAATACGATCGTACTGTTATTTTGACTATTCCATCGATTGATCCGGAACAAGCTTCTTTTCTTTATCTAACAATTTCTAATCTTGCTGTTTTATGATGTCTCAAGCTAGTCGATTTCCATTGAATCTATAATAAGTGCAATTGAGAGAAATGTTTAATGAAAAAGAACGTATGTCTCTTGATGGAAATTTACTATCATGTTTTTGTTTTAAAAATCAATTGATCGATGATCTAGCTATTGGATCGAGGTTAGTGATGACAGCTGATCGTAGTACATGAAAAGCAAAAGATCTTTAAAAAAAAAATTATTCTTGAAATTAATCAGCAAAAGAAATAGAATAGAAGTAAATATCCTGTTCCAATAGAACACTTTATTCTATAAGACACATCTGACTTGGCAAATAGTTTCTAGATAAATGCTTATTATAACAATTCGAAATGTAATAGATCAATGAATATATCTCAGAAAAAAATAATTCAATCAATATCTAAATTTCAATTATTGATTATAAGATGTTCAGTTACTTTGTCGCATTCTATCGTGACTTACACATTATACATTCTCACTTATAGTGATTTATCGATGACATCGTTCACCTATATAATGTCTTTCATATATATTGCTCAAACAAAGTAAAATGTAAAAATTGTTGATGATTGATGATAAAATTCAATGTTCACATTATTATTGACATATGAATTGAATTTTGAAAATTGATTGTTAACTTATATATCTATATACACAAAATGCTACATCTAATATTTAAAAGCTCTCAATAGAATAAGATGTCTTGATACAAGAAAGTTATTTTAATTAATGTATTAACTAATAAAAAACAAAAGATGAGATTCAATACTAATGGCACTCGAAAATCTCTATCTCATTACTCCACAAAATAACTATCTGCTCATATGGTATAATAATATTCAATTATTTCAATAGCATATTCATATATAATTGGTTTTCCTCTTTTAAAGTACTCTCCAAAATAAACTAAACAGCATAATTTTACCGAAATTTGTGTGAAAAAAAAGGAAAATATTCTTAGTAAGTTCCTGGACTATTATAGATATTTAACTCTCCTTCACCCTTTATCTGTACGTTCTTACAGATCATCTCTTATCATATTAAACGAAATAATTGTAGGTTTTAGTTTTTTTTTGGTGATAATTTTTGAACAAAGGAATAAAGGATGATATTATAAAAATGTAATAATTTTTTGTTTTCAATATATATTAGTTAAATAGTTCATCATTTTCTTTTTCAAAAAAAAATTTATATAATCATATGAATCATTGAAATAAAAACGTGAGATCAACGAGCGTCATGAACCATGAAACAAAAACTGACACAAGAATTCAATGTATATAAAACTAAATTATTCGAACAACCAAAGTTAGTTGAGCATGAACGTAGAGATAATTGATGATACACTCACAGTATGAAAGAATTCAAGAAAAACCGATCCAAAATCTAAAACAATGTGATATTACTTAACTATTTATTCATTTCTTTTAATACAATTTCGTGATAATTAGCGTTTGACACAGACTGATAAGCTGCAATACATTAATGATATTGATTAACGATTTATCAATATCATGAATGTATAAAACAGATAGGCTAATCAACTTTAACAGTTCGAAATCATATCGAATAGAAAATATTTGGTCAAACGTAAAATACAAAGTTGGAAGTTGAAAATCAAAAGAATTTTCGTGTTATAAAAAAATTTGATGTTCTTGATGAAAACGTGATATTCAATAGCACTTATTCTGATGTATTCTTCAACAGATGAAATAGACTTACTCCGATGTATATAAAAAGAAATACTTACAAAAAGAAAATATTCAAGGCTCGTTTTCTCGCAAACAACTATATATGAATTATATAAATGTCCGGCTCGTGTTAGATTTTTTTGAAACATATGGTTAATATTATAAGTGTCTCTTCATATTGAATTCTTTGATTAATGACTGTTCATGTATAGAAGAAAACAAAAGCATATGTACATTATTTAGTCGTATTCTGTATTTAAATATGAATAATTCAGCAGCATATTCATCTTCTTCATTAACATATAATTCAAAAAATAATCGTTCTATTGAATATGTAATCATAATTTCTGACGCTACACATCAATAAGTGAAATATATCTTTCATCAACATACCATACCATACCATTCTCTCTGTCTCTCGATTGATAACTCAATCTATCATCAAATCAAGTAAAAATGTAAGTATCAGTATCGATATGAAATCTTGTCAAAACATATCACAACAAAACATTACATAGACTTGAGTTTAGTCTTTTGTTGAATGTGATTGACCAACTAAGTAATCATAGATAACATAATGTCGACTTATCTTCATTTATCAAAAGCATAAATTATGAATTTTAGAATTCTATGGTATACAAAAAAAAAATTATGCTGTCAATGTTTAATCACATTAGGCTGAAATCATGTCTAAAATTATTTACCAAATAACTTGTTGTAATATTTAAACTACAGGAGAAATTATCTTTTGTTGTGAATTATTTACTTTTGTTTTCTACATCCTTTTTGTTTATATCAAATAGTTGATACAGCGGTTTTTTATAAACTTAACAGAGTTGTTAATCACTAAAACATTAATCATCAAAGTCCAATGTAATCAATTTCGATAGTCATATGTTTTTGATTGGACAACAAAAAAGACCTTGAACACAACTTGTGACTCTTGCATAAAAGTGTGAATTTTTTTTTAATGATGCACATAAATTGATAACACATTTTAGATTTCTCACCAAGAGGTGTGTTGACGAAATTACACAATCAGTTTTTGATATCAGATTTTCATTGTCATGCATCACTGCATTGAACAGCAATTAGGCAAAAAATTCAAATATTTGCGTAAAAAAATTTATAGGTAAGCGTTGTGAATTTCAAGACAAAGAGGCAATAGAAAATAAGATTTTATCATTACTAGTGTTGTCTCAGTATATCAAGAATCTTTTTAGTTTCGAATGTCTTTCTGTTAATTTGATAATATCTTAGCTGCATTATGTTCTTTTTTCTCAATGAACTAATTTTCTAGAGGAATTTCTTGTACAAAAATAAAATCTTCGATGTATTTATTCGTTTAGATCTGTGACGTATTGGAAGTTATACTCTTGTACATAAATGGAAGGTAATAATTTTAACTGATAAGCGCAAAAACATGAAATGAGAGAAGATTTCCTATATTTTAGATTTTAATATTACATCAACGAATATAACTAGAAACAATGAAAGATCATCTACTGGTTCAATTATTTTAGTTCTATCAGTTGCTGTATTAGTTTCATGTGTGTTCAAAATAATTTTTGTTAAATTTCTTCGTCATAGAGTAAATCTTTCTTTTTATATTATTGTTTTATTTCTTGGTTTTCTTATTGGTATAATTGCTACTCAAATACAAGGTGGTTTTAGTGAAGATGATTTTCTTCGAGGTGAACATCATTTAAGTAAAATAAGTCCTCAATTAATTTATTATATTTTTTTACCATTAATTATCTTTGATTCATCATTTAATACTCATTTTCATATTGTTAAGCAACAAATTATCACAACTATTTTAGTAGCAGGACCAGGTGTTCTTATTTCAACAGGAATTATTACACTATGTGTTGTTTATTTATTTCCATATGATTATCAATGGTCCTGGCTTAGAGGTCTTTTATTTGGTAGTATATTAAGTACAACAGATCCAGTAACAATCGTTACATTGTTACAAGATTGTGGAGCTAGTCAATCATTATCATCATTAATTGAATCTGAATCATTGCTAAATGATGGATTAGTCTTTATGCTTTTTTCAGTCTTAAATCGTATGATTGTTGGTAGTTCGTACACTCCTGGACAAATCATTTTTGACATTCTGAGATATGGCCTCGGTAAGACATAAATAGATATTTCGAAAAATCGATGTGCTCTAGGAAGACAAAAAGAAAAGAATATCGAAAATTTCAATGAACAAGGCATTTTTTTTATTTTTGACATATTATTAACATTTCGAGATGTGCAGTGTTGATGTAAACACTGATATGCTGGAACTGTCATCGCCGACAGTGATACTCAGTGAACACCAATGATCTTTACCTCATTGTTTACTGCAGCACTAATACAATCAATGACGCTGCCACCATCAGGCGCACTGACATCACTGACATCAGGGTTCAGTGGAACACTGGTATACTAATACTTGTAATGTATACAGGGAATAACATGACATCATTTAGCTGAAGTATCAACATATGCAAGATGGTTTCATTGAATGAGAGCACATCAGCTGAATAGTTTATCAGATGTTTCTTTCACAGCTGACTCTATTCGACTCTAGACTCTGTTAATGAAGCAGGAACGTATTCTTTGACTATTATAACATGATATGAGTCGTTTTCTATCTATTATATTCCATCCTCTGTTGTATCTTTTCCTTTCACCTCCTCTTTTCGTTTTCAGCTACTTTCTTGATTCAATTTTATATGTTTATTATTCAGAGATTTATAATAGTATTTTATCTCTATTGAACATTTAGGCAAAAAGGACAGTCGTACATAATATGTTCACATAGCAAAAGAAAATGAAGCTTCAATGGAAGAGTTCTAAATAGCAGGACGGTACTTATTTATTAATACGAGAAGCGGATGTTATACATTTCTTTGTAGGTATCCTCATCATTTAAAGTTATAGATTATCCAAATACACGATGTTGTCCGGAAAGACGGATATGCTCATTCCATTTCTTCCGTCGACAGTTATAATTCAAAGTAGAAAAGATGAATAGTTTAGCAGAGGCGGTGTTTCAGTGTTCCAATGAATACTGATGTCAGTGAAGTCAGTGTCAGTGCTCTCACAATTTCAGTGAGCACTGACACCGGATTCATCAGTGTTCACTGAACGTCAACGTCAGTGACGTCGGTGATCAGTAAATTGAAATTACCCATGCTTACTAAAAGTGTAACATGTATCATATACAAGTCCAAAGATATAAAAAAAACGAAAGAAATAGCAGTGTGATTTTTCCTGTTTCACAACTGTACATGATGAACTTCATCTAAATATTCCATTACATTTACAAAACCATGATAATGTCGTTTACATAGATTGTATGAAAGACTTTGAATAGCAACTGTTTTGGCCCGTTTTACCGTTGTATCAATAAAATACTATAGAGGATTAGAGTTAGTATCTATTGAAGGCATATCATTTTTCAATATTTATCCTTTTGACCTTTCTAAGGTTAATAGATCTCGTTCGATTCAAAACTTTCGAAATCGGAATCGTTCGAACTATACTTTGACACTATCAATAAAATTTTCTAATCGATATTGAATAGTCGTCTAGAAGATACGGAATACTTTTTTTTCATGTTTGTTTATTCGGTGATTAGCACATCATACACATTTTTGAGACTACTGGAATCCATCAGATTCAAAACTTTCAAACTTGGACCCGACGGGCTTTAATGGTCAATCAAGAAATCTATCTTACTAATAGAATGTTTATTCGAAAATGAATGATATGTAATTATTTTCTGATAGAATGGTTTTTATAGCTTAAAGAGTTATTGAAGAGCTAAGAATTTTAATAAAAATAATAAGCAGAGCTTTCAATTTTAATTTCTTTTTTTTTTTTACAGGTGGTCCTTTATTTGGATTAATCTGTGGTTTTATTTGTGTATTTGTATTAAATCGAATTAATAATGAATTAAAAATTGAAATTACAATAACATTTGGTATAACATATCTTGTTTTTTATATAGCAGACGCTGAACTCAATATTTCGGCTGTGCTTTCTCTTATCTTCATGGGTTTATACATGGCCAAACATAAATATTGTATAAGTAGTAATGTTCAATTATCAATGGCTGGAGCATGGGAGATAATCATATTTGTTGTAAATATTCTAATATTTACTGTTAGTGGTCTAATTTTAGCACATTCATTTGTCGGTGTACAGACCAATTTAACTAGTAGAGACATTGGAATAGCTTTAGTACTTTATCTATTAATTCACGTAAGCAGAGTATTAATTGTTGGCGTATTATATCCAGTAATTACATGGAGTGGAATGCCTTTGAATCGAAAAGAATGTGTGATATTTGCATGGAGTGGTTTACGTGGTCGAACAGCTTTAATTCTCGTTCTTCTAATCTATTTAGATTCAGAAATTGATTGTGCAACTCGTGAACGTTTCCTTTTCCATATTTCATTGATTGTATTATTTACATTAATTATTAACGGAACTAGTAGCAAGTTTTTAGTGAAGATGCTTGGTCTTCATAAAGGTACTGTATCATGAAAATAAATAAATAAAAAAGACTATGTTCAAGATTTAATCATCTAAATAAGGTTTTTCCGAAATTTTTGAATGTTCATTATTTACTAACATATTATTTATCTGTAGGAACACCAGAGAGTCAATCTGTACTGTTGCAAGCGTTAAAACATATGCGAAATCAGACATCAAGGCAAATAAAAAACATGAAAGAAGATATTAATTTTGCCAATGTCGATTGGAAAATATTAAATGATTATTTACCAGAAAAATTACTTGAAGAATTAGATGAAGAACATGATACTAATATCCATCAAAGATTATCTGTTACATCGAGACAAACATATGGTGATCTTGCATCGGAATCTAGAGCAACATATTCAGATCCATTACAAAATCAACATCATTCTGATCAAATATCTACTAATAGCATCCATCAACTTGATTTAGAATCATTGTCTAATGATCGATATTTATTAGAATCATTTATTCAACCAATAAATAATTTTGATTGGAATTCTGAATGTCATCGAACGAATATGCGTAATGAAATTATCAAAAGATTTCTAACAGCTATGTCAGTTGATTATGAAAAACAATGGTGTTTAGGCATGATTCGACAACGAACACTTAAAATACTTATTGAAACTATTGAAGAAGCTAAAGCAAAATTATCACTTAAACGACATTGGCAACTTCTTACGAAACGCTTTTGTATGCCAATATGGTTACAATGTTTTATCAAATTTTCTAAAATCAAATACATAAATTGTGTAACAGAAAAATTATTATTCAATCATTTAATATTCACTATTGAATTAGCCTTGGGTATGTGTGTTACTTGTTTATTTCTATATCGATATACTTTATCCACACAAAAAACGTTGATAAAAAAGAACCTCTCATAAAAAAAAAATCTAAAGAATTCAAGATTGAACATAGAATGTTCTTAATTCTTTAATTTTAAACAGTAAGCCAAAAAAAGACTAAAAGTGATAAGTTATTGTTATCAGCAGAGATGACAGTCGCGGTTGAGAATATGTCATTGTTCTAGACGAGGCAAAGCTATCGCGCTGCTGCCGCCATGATTTTCGACAAATTCTTCGAAAATCTCTTCCATCATTGTATTAAAATAGCATGTTTAAATTGAGTCCATCAGATATATAACAGTTCTGACTGTTCAAGTTGTTAACACTCAAATCGAGTTCACATTCAGGCAATATTATACTTTCCCTAACAAAGAAGCTGCTGCTACTGCCATCACAGTGGCCGAAGCATCACCATCTATATTTCTCTAGCTAGTAGGTAATACGTAACGAAAAATTTGTGGACTTGATTCTTTTGTCAGAGAATAGCTTGTTGGGAACATCATGATTTTTTTATAAATTTTGATCAAAGATGTTTCTTCTGCAGCTATTCCTTCACAAAAAATTCAGTTCATGAATTTTCTGTTACCTTTACTTGATAATGCCCAGAAAAATGATTACAGTTGTCGAGGTAGCCAAAACCGGTACTATAAATAGTCGTTTCATAAAGTTTCTATATGTAAATTGATGTTTGGTACATACTGTATTACGAACGTGTTTGATCGTACCATACCCAGTTGATAGCGATCGCCCAACAGCCTAACCATCGAGTATCTGACCGCTTAGGATACCATGAAAATACAGTCAGAATACTACGTCTATCAAACGTCGAAAAAATCATTTAAAACGGCCATTTGTGATTAAGCTTATTTGACCTGAAAAGGGAACTTCTGTTCCCTGGGCATGATATTACTCCTTTTCGTTTTGATATGAAACAATTACAATAAAGGTTATTGTATTGTAGCATTTCATTCCGCTAAATCACATTTGGAAAACATGCTTACGAAATTTCCTGAATTTGCAAATATTGATAATGATGTTATGAATAGTGTTCTTAACGAAGCGAGAATGTTACAAGTACGTGCATCACTCGTATTACATGATTTACAACATTCGTATAAAAAATGTTGGGCAATTGAAATGACAAAACGATGTGCTCAAATGTTATTAAAACATGAATCCGTAGCTATTGTTCAATTATATGAAACTGGCATGCTTAATGAAAATGAATATGCACATATTCTTAAACTTATACAAAAGAAACTTTTTCATTTAGAATATAGTCATCTTATGGGTATTCCAAAAATACATTTGAATCGAGAACAAGACAATCCATTTAATTATCTTTCATTATTTGCTGATTTAACTGAAAATGAAAAAGCTCATTTTAAAGAATTATTAGAAACACGACATAGATGGTTTCAGCCTGGTGAAGTTCTCTTACGACAAGGTTATATTACATCAGAAGCTTATTTAATTATACGTGGAATTGTTGAATGTTCTGAAGATCTTTTGACATGCTATAGAGCAGGCCATATTATTGGTATTGATGCGTTATTTGATAAAACTTCATCAGCATCAAATCGGACTTACCGAGCTGAGAGCAGTATTGTTGAAGCTTATACGATTGATGAGTCAATACTGAATATGTTTTTATCAAATGTAAAAATGACTCGATTAATTTATAATGAAATAGCTCTTCATATGCTGATCAATATGTATCAAGAGCCAGTAAATTTATTAAATTATGCTCAAATAAAAGTTCTCTTAGATGAATATGCTATATTTTATCAAAATGAAATTGATCATGATATAATGACTATTCAACTTAGACGAAACGAACGACTCTTTCTTCTTATAGGTACAATACAAAGAGAAGATGATGATTACTTTATAGATGGTCCTCAATTGGTAACTGTTAATCAATCTACATCATTTCATTGTATTGTAAATAAGTTATGTATTGCCTATACATGGACATTGGAAAACGAACAAGAATGTTTACAAATAGTACGATCATTTACGACTAGTTTTCGATTGTCTGATTCCAGTCAAGTCAAAGCAAATACAACAATGGTTTATCCATCCTATTCAGGTTATACAACAGAATTTACTCCACAATGTCATTCTTTAATACAAGTTGCACGATCAGCTGCTCATATGAGCAATATTGAATTGATTCCTATGGAAATAACAGATCTTTATCATGAAAAAATTTAAATTTTTTAAAAACTTGTTGACTATGAAATATTTATTCGAGCTATTACCAGTTTTTTGAGAAAGATGTATTCTTCAGTGTACATTAAAACATCATTTTAATAAATCTTATAATCATTGCTTGGTTTTCTTTAGAAAATGTTTTTGTGCTTACCAAAGATGGAACCGGTTCGGTTCGATTCACAATTGAATTGGTCTAATGGTTGGTGCTTATATATCTTTCAGAAGAAAATCAATAAGTTTTAATTGCTTTTTGAAATATTGCTTAAATAATTTCAACTAGTACTTGATAGACATTTGATAAGAATCTATTGCTAACGGAGTACGAAACTGGTAAGTGTGATTAAAATAAATGAAGCAATTTCAATCATGCTACTCAATGTTATATTAAACATACAGTGTTGATGATTAAAATTTGCTGAACCTAAGAAAAATAGACAACTCTGACCATCTGTTGTTACTCAGATTATTGATGTTAACAATATTTTTCAGTATAAATTTCATATAGTAAATGATACTTTTGATAATCTATTTAATATAATAGAATATTTTTTTGATTTCATTTTCTTCGCTTCTGAAAGAATCACATGCAAACACAATTGAGGGCAAACGGCATACTTAGTTTTGTTTTTGTTCAAATAAGTTATAAATCTAATCAATTCAACTCAATTGATATTTAATACATCACGTTTTCAACATTACTCTAGCGACATCTTTAAATAATTTATTGATAATTCTATTAAAATATAACCAGTCTTACATTTCTAAACTATAAAAAATAAATATGTAAGAAAACAACTAAATTTGCGATCGATTAAAGAAAATCTTTACGAGTGGTTGGTTTTGATTCATCCATATTCTATTGAAAATATATGCTGGATTTTCGACCGTTGTCTAATGTTAGGTCTCCTACCAGTTATATTGAACATATAATAAGAAGTTCAATAAGCATATTGTAAAGGTTATCAGTGTTTCTCCTACAAAAAAAAAGGAAGTCCAACAATTGTCAATTGTTTCCATTGACAACTAAAACTAACATTAATTCATATAATTTCACTTTTCTCCTACTATTTTAGATTCTGTACATTGTTTTCTGAACAAATTTTAATTGATACATCCGCATTAAATAATGCCCAAGCGTGGTTCTTCGACATCTGGTACTGTCGCAGTTGTACCACGAAAAAAACAGAAAAATGTTGAACTAATGAATGGTCACAACGATGAAGAACAAGATGAAAATATGCCACCAGATCATAGTACTTATTCATCTCAATTTTTTAAACAAAATCCTGATGTAAATATTGTTTTTTTTTCTTGTTACCTATTAAACTAATTGTTTATTTATATTAATTATTTTTTTAGTTACATAAAAATGCTGGTACTATTCTTAGAGTTAGTGTAAAAAATTTTATGTGTCATACATTTCTTGAATTTGATTTCAATGAAAATCTTAATATGGTTATTGGAAATAATGGCAGTATGTTTTCTTTTTATTAAAATGAATGTCATTCTATTAGAATAAACTAATTTTTAGGTGGTAAATCTGCAGTAATGAATGCAATCACATTAACTTTAGGTGGTCGTGCAACAAGTACAAGTCGTTGTTCGAATATCAGCCGTTTTATTCAACATGGCAAAAGGTAAATATTCTAAATTCATTTTTCTTATTGATTAGTTTGAACATTCTGATCTTTTTTAGTTTTGCTGAAGTATCTGTTGTTTTATGTAATCAAGGTCTTGAAGCAATTGATATCGAACGTTTTGGTCGAGCTATTACAATAATACGTAAAATAACAATTAAAGGTAGCAGTCATTACCTAGTTAAAAATGAATATGGTTAGTTGATTATTCGTATTTTTTATGTAGAAAAAAATGTGTTCTGTTTTTCTAATAGGTAAATTAGTCTCCGATAAAAAAGATACAATTGATACAATAGTGACACATTTTAATATTCAAGTTGATAATCCAATGTGTATGCTTAATCAAGATATAGCAAAAAATTTTCTTAATACAAAAAGTACAAAAGAAAAATACAATGTAAGAATTTTAAGTGTTAATTATTTTGAATTGAATAATAAATTTCTTAATTTGGACTTGTTCAGAGATCATATGATAAGTTTCTTGGCCAATGTACCTACTTAATGATTCTAAGTAATATCTTGCTTCTCTCATCTTCAATAATAGTTCGGCTTTGCTCAAACAAAGAATTTTCCTCTTTCTTTAACAAAGCTAAGCTAAAATGGAATAGGACTTGATTAAATAATTAAAATGAATCGATTGATGCTAAACTTCTATTATTTGTCTTTGTAAAATTTATAAAAAAATTTCTGCACCAAGTACAATAAGTAATTTATTTTAATTTTATCATTCATGTAATTCTTGAGAGTTGTTTTGTCGAAATAGTTCATTTCTTAATGCCCTACAATCGTCAACATAGTTTTCTCTCATATTAAAATCTTTTACATGTTTGTTCATCAATGAAAAGCGGATAATATCGATGGACAGCTATACCATTCATGCTTCAAATGATGACTGTCTAATTACATTCTTTGTATATTGGAAAGCAAAGTGACAATGCTATTGCTGACTTTCAGACACGCAATGGGCTTAGCTTTTTGGCATGAAATGCGTGTCGAAAACGACTTTTGAATGGGTATTTCGAGACTTTTGGCTGCAAAATAGGATTCTCTATGTAACTAGTTGACATTTGTTAAAGTGATTGTCAAATTGCTACTACCGCGACCTTTTTCAAGAAATTCTTCAAAAATATCTTTCGTCACTATGCTAAATTAGCATAGTTAGATTGGAGTCTCTATAATTTCACCAATTGTATATTCACCAAATTGGTGAATTACTAGTGTGACATTCGCCAATAAATAATATTTTCGTATTACCGTGTTCGTCAATTGGCGAACTTCCTCACGAAATTCGCCAAATTGGTGAATCACTAGTGTGACATTCGCCAATTGACGAAAACTACAATTGAGGAATTGGCGATAAGATTTTACCCCGTTAGATTGAATCCATCAAATAAATCATGATTCTGAATGTTGAACTTATAGACAATCGAATCTAGCGCGAATTCATGAAACTATACAGTCTTTCCAAAAAGGAATCCGACGTCGCTATGAACATTTCTACACCCAACACTTATCTTTCTATGGTTGGAACTATCATGTTGGTTATCTAGCCGGAATGACTTAAAAATCAAATCATTATTTCTAAAAGGACACCACTAATATCTAAAGTTGACAAATCCTTATCGAATATGTCAGTTTGTAGCCTGAATACAACTGTGTTTGTATTAGAATCATATTCATTCAGTGAAAATAATTACAGAAAATTTTTGAAACCGTTTGACTATTTCTGCTAGGTAGTGTTTATGACGAGATGCACGAGCAACATTCTTTAAAAAATCTGTATCTAAAAAAGAAACTTTTTTTTGTTTAAGTTCTTTTTAAAAGCAACACAATTACAAAAAATGGTTGAAGATCTTCAAGAAAATACCGTTGAAATTCGTAACGCAAAAGCTTTACTTGCTGATCATGTGAAAGTAAAAAAAAATAACAGCAATCTTTCTAATTCATTTTTCAATACTCTCATTAAACTAATAATAAATAGAAAAGAAAAGAAATTCAAGTACAACAAGAAGATCTTGAAGCTCAATTAAAATTTGCTGAATCAATACGTGATGCAAAAGCAAATGCTGATAATCTTCAAGGACAACTTGAATGGGCTGAAGTAATCAATCTTGAAAAAGTATATAATCTTTCTTGTTTTTGTTTTTGCTTTTTATATTGATTAAAAGTTAAACTATTTCAGACATTAGCCGAAACAGAAAAAAAACTTGCCGATAATCAATATGCTGTTCAAGAATATACAAAAAAACGTGATACACTAATAGTTTGTTATTTTAAGTTTTTTTCTTTTTCGATATAATTTTTTTAATTAATATAAATAGGAAGATATGAAAAATGAAAAAACAAAACGCGATGAATTACTTCGTAAAGCTCAAGAAGTTGCAAATAATGCAATTGAAGAAAAACGTATTCATGATGATCTTGAACGACGAATGAAATTATTTAATAAAGAAAAACGAGATTTATTACATGAAGTTAATAAATCAGAGAAAGAACTTCAAATTCAAATTGAATTAAAGAAAAAACTTCAAAATAAAATCGATGACATGCGTCGAAAGTAGAACATTTTTGTTTTATCGATCATTTTCATATATATTTTTTTTTAAATTAATTTACTCTTAGAGCAACAGTTAATAATGATTATGATAAAGCTTGTAAACGTATAGAGGAATTACAAATTTCAATTGCTGAACAACGACAAATATTATCAATGAAAGAAGGTGAACAAGTTAATTTTCGACAATTATTTGATGATGAACGTCAAAGTCTATTTGATGATCAATCTATTTTAAAACAATATGAAGACTCTTTACGTCGACAACGTGGCATTATTCAACAACTTAAAGCAGCTAAACAAGATCGTGTAACTATTTATGGACGTCATACGATTTCTATTCTTAAAGAAATTGAAAAACAAGCTCATAGATTTAAACAAATACCTATTGGACCTGTTGGTAAGATCTTTGTTTCAAAATTAAATAAAAAGGATAATAGCGAAATTGAAATATAAAACTGAAAGAATATATTCTATGAACGGGTTATAGAAACGTAATTCGACAAAACTTACATGCTTTTATTAGCATTTGTAGAAATTCAAGAGCATTGAGTCGAGAATAAAATTTTGTACTTTGTTGGAATATAGATTTAGCATTGCTTTAGGACTTCTGGTTTGGGAGTCGATCTATTAGAAGCACGAAAATTGTGTTTGACCGGAGAAAATTGATTTTTATTGTATAGAATTAATAGAAAGATTTTTCTCTACAAAGTGATATAAGAATCCAGAATTTCAGAACAATCATTTAGAAATAGTGAAACTCATTTTGTATGTCTGATTATTTCTAGTAATCGAATAAATTGACATGG